AGTTGTGGCTGTCGAGGATGGGGGTCTGTGGGTACCTGCTCCTGCCCTGGAAGTGCCTCGTGGTCGTGTCTCTCAGGCTGCTGTTCCTTGTACCCACAGGAGTGCCCGTGCGCAGCGGAGATGCCACCTTCCCCAAAGCCATGGACAACGTGACGGTCCGGCAGGGGGAGAGCGCCACCCTCAGGTAGGGAGCTGCCGTTCTTCTATGACTTGACAAGGATTTGAAAGGGGAGAGGGGGAGAGGGGTCGGGGCGCAGGTGTGTGTCAAGGAGCCTGGACGAACTCGGTGCTTGCCCGGGAATGTTGGTGGCCTCCTAGGGAACCTCTCAGAGGCGCAGGAGATGAGCTGTTTCCCCGACACTGGCTTCTCGGCTCAAGACTTGGGAAGCAAGAGGGGTGGCTGGGCCAGGAAGTCGCTAGGATTGAGGACTGTGGCCCTCCCAGGCTGGTGGCTGTGGTGACTGGGGCCTGGGTGGAGAGCAGTGTGAACAGGCTTCTCTGAAGTTAACGAGCCCCAGTGGACAGGTCTGGCTTCCTGCGAATGCCCTCGCTCTGCCCATGACATGGGGAGTCGCCAGCTGGGCCTGACTGTGCGGGGCTTTCCTGGGCACCTTCATGCCACACGTTGTTGGGCAGAAGGACATGCTTTTCCTGCTTGCCCACGGCTTTCTGAGCTTGAAGTCCTGAAGATGAGTCTGGTTTGTCTGTGGGAACTATCATTTACCTGGTTAACTGTGCTCTGGGTGCTATCCACCACCAGGAACTCATCTACGGCTGAGGTTCAGTGTCGGGTCAGGTCCTGCTCGGCTTCCAGGGCTGAGGTTTACAGGACCCACAGGAGGAGGAGGGGAATTTTGGTTTTGTTTTGTGCAAAGTAGCAAGACTCTGTCTTCCTGGTCACCCTACCTACTGAAATGCTGACTCAATTTCCAGAGCCTAGAGCTGTGCCCCTCACAGGAGGGCAGCACAGAATTAGTGAGGGCAGTGGAGTCTCGCCCTCTGGGATTCTGCGAGTCAGCCTGAGGTGGAAGTTGAGAAGACTGATCGGAACAACCAGTTCCCTATGTCTCTTAGATTTAATATGCCCTCTTAAATAAAGTTTTCCAAACTGGGCTGTTGAGCTAACCACAGGGCAACGTGGCAGTGTTCTTGTCCTTTGCACGTGAAGACTCTTGGTGCTGGTGCTGGTGTCCGCTCTTTGGCCCCCTGGTGACTGTCCTAAGATTGGATTGTTTGTGGATAGTACACTTAATGCAATACCCACGGGATAGAAAATGGTGGTGGGGGAGGGCACTGGGAGGACTTTGCCAAAGGAAGTGTGACCCATGCAAGGACTGCTCGCATCCCATGCTCCTCTGTCTTTGGGGAGCTAATCCCCATTGCCCAGTGAATCCCTGGTCACTCCTTGGTTCTTGAAATCAAGCTCTTCCACTAAGCCCTTTGGGGACTATTTTAAACAAAGGTTAAACATCTAACTACCTCCCACCCTGAAATAAGTGTGCATCTGCTTTATCAAGGGGCTCAATGGGAACTCCAAATGTGCCGGGATTTCAGTCTACTTAAGGGAAAAACAAAAATGAACTCCTAAAGCAATGTAGTCGATGTTATTTAGTGTTCTCTGCATGCCTCCCCGTGTCCCTAATCTTTGGCTGCAAGGAGTAATCCCCAAGAGATAAAATAGAGACATTTGCCCAGAACATTTTAGAAAGAAATGGGTTGGTATTTTCAAGAAGGTGGAAGGTAGTCAGCTGTACAGAGATTTGGAGATAAAGGAATAGCAAAGGGGCCCTGCACAGAGTAGCCCCGTATTATAGGAACGATGAGTGTTGGACAGGCCAGGATCTGGTCTCCAGAAGGCAGCCCCCTAGGCTCATGAAAATCAGGACTCTCTAGAGAGGGGCTGAATTTAGCAGATGCTCAGCCAGGGGGTGGGCCTGGGTTAGGAGCAGCTTCTCTTTAAAATCACATTATCATGTGCTGGCTGGCTTCTCTTTTTCTTTGTCTTTCTTTCCATGCCTCCTTTCTTTCTCACTCTGGGGTCCCTCTCACTGTCTCTTTTAGGCACTAATGTTTGCATTTTCACATATGCGTAGACACACTGGCCTTGTTTGGGTGTAGATGGAGGAAATGGGATGTGGTGGGACTTCCTCTCTAGCCCCAACCCAGCCATGGCATAAAAAGCCCTCCTGGAGCATCTCCTGCCATTCTGTGCCAGCCCTGGGCTGGCTGTCTTCCTGACATCAGGAGGAAGAACCTCCCAGTGAGTGGAGCCCCACAGGGCGGGGATTAGAGGAACTAGGGTCTGCCTGAGACCAGCCTCTTGCCATGGGCCTGATTTAGGAGGGGAAGTGGGCAGCAGGGCTATCAGCACATCTGCAGGGAGGATGCCCCTGCCTCCGCAGAAGGACCCTTGCTCTTCTAAGGCTCTGATGCCCTGGAACAAGAAAGAGCCACCCTGTTGGGTGCACCTTTGTGGAGTGCAAGCCCTTGAACTCTCAACACAGGCTCTGCGTTTTGTACAGAGAAACAAGTAGGAATTATAGAGCCTATTTTGCTTACATAAAATTTACGCATGACCTGATTTCAGGTTGCAACAATCAGTGATTCAGGGCTCTGGGTTATTTTATTTTTGCTTTTTTGGGTGTGTATGTGGGTCTCTTCTTTCTTTTTTCCTCCCTCCCTCCTCCCTTCCCTCCCTCCCTTTCTTCATGTTTTGTTCAGCATGTGACCAAACTACACAGAACCTCCCTAGGGAGGCCCCCAGCGCCTCTGCTCTGTCCGGAGCCACCGTCCACACCGCTGTGGCGACTGGAGGGTGATGCTTGTAGTTCTCGCCTCAACCGGCAGAGGACTTTCTGCTCTCATGTCATCTCCTTTGGCTTTGTTCCCTCCACTGTCACTTTCGGAAGGTCTTTTCCAGTCCCCAAAGAACTAACACTTCAGCAGCGATTCCAGTGTGAGGAAACTTTTACAGGTGTTTTATTTCATCTGATCAGCACTGATGATCCTTGTGGGGGTATTGGGGGAGCTTTCACCTAACATGCCATTGACAGCCTGAAAAAATTGCCAACGACCTGCAGTCTCCCACTCTTTCTGCCCTTCTGCTCATAGCCTGTATGCACCCTTTTCTTTTTTAAAAAGGGTGAGGTTACATAAAACGGAACGTGCAGTAATAACAGTAATAACCAAGGTTTATTGAGCACTCACTATTTGCTAGGGAGCATTCTAAATATTCTATATAAAAATCACCCATCATCCAACCTCATAATGTTAGCATTTAACCCTATTCAGAAACCCTGTGATGCAGGCTCTATTGTTATCCCCACCTTGCAGGTGAGGAAACTGAGGCATGGAGAGTTGACATCATTTGATCCAGGTTGCACAGATAGGAAGTTTTGAAACCTTGTTGTGAGGCATTAGTAATAATGATGTTGAATAAGATGAATATTCCATCAATTACTGGCCAGTTACTGTGTGAAACATTTTTAATGCATAGTAATATTTAATTCTCACAACAACTCTCTGAACTAGACTTAATTATTCTTATTTTATAGATGAGAAAGCTGAACCCCCAAGAGAGGAATTCACCTAAAATCACAAAAGGGACAGAGCTGGGATGCTGTCTCTGGACTTTGCTCCTTGACTTTGTACAACAGCTTTCCCCAATAAATTCATTGGTCACTGGAATGTAATCCCCACCCCCCCTCATTTCAGTTTATACCTTGTGCTTAACTCTCTGTCTCCTTCCTCCATGTGGACTAGGGAGCAGCTAGCTCTAGAAAAGCAGATCATGCCTGTAATGCTATGAGCACCGTGTGCTTCCAAATGTTTACTGAACAGATGAAACAAATGAAAATAAACCAAAAATATCCCCAGCCTATATTCAGTTTAATTCCTTAACACATCGCTCTGTCATTGGATTTTAAAATACAGCTGTGGTCAGTCAGTGGAGATTTATTGAGTGATTCTTACAGGGAGGGCACTGAGCTGGGGGTTGGGCTTGGAAAAAGCAGGAGGCATGGACTTCACATTTCAGGGTCTTGGGTGCAATGCAAAGGTGGGCTGTGGACAGAGGTCATCAGCAGCTAAGGCAGAGGCCCATTAACAAGTGGTTGATATATGGCCAGGAGTGTCCTCACCCACAGTGGGCAGGACTGAGCTCCTCTGATGGGAACACGAGGATGCAGTGAGAGCAAGAGAGCCTGAGAGGCCCAACTGGGGGTGTCATTAATTAGAGACCTTCACTTCGTGTCCATGTGCTCCTTGGCGATTTAGATGAATATGTTTCATGTGTTTATAGATTCACCAAATATTACCTTAGGCTCATCTGGAGAGTGAGTACCAGAGGCTGAGCTATACCTCTGTCCTGTATCTAGACTGTAGGTTTTGTCACTGCATGGTGATTTTTTTTGGGGGGGTAGGAGTTGAGTTAATAAAATGTCTGAGAAATGTATAAGATTGAAGTCGAGTTTAGAGATAGCAGGTCCATGGAATAGCACAGAATAATGTGGTTTTGATACTTGAGAAAACCCATGGAGTCCCCTTCTAGATGCTGGAAGCTCTGGCACTTTATTTCTATCATGTAAAACACTTAGCATTTTGTTTTTAGGCAGGTGGGTTCTCTGTTAGTCTCTCCAGCTCCTCCATGGCCTCTGGAGGACAGAGCTATGTCTTTTTCAGGTTCACACCCTATTACATGATGTGCTTCATGGTTTTTCCTAATAAAGTCTGAGTAACTGTCCTCCTGCCCTTCCCTTTACATACTCTGCTGGAGATACTTGGCCTCCTTTCTGTTTCATGAATACCCAAAACTTACCCTTGCCACAGAGCCTTTCCAGTCATGGTTGCCACTGTTGGGAATGCCCCTGCCCCGGATCTCCAGATCTTCCCATGGGCAGTTGTTTCCGTCTTAGCCTCAGCTCACGTGGGACTCCTCACCGGAGCCTTTCTGGACACTCACATAGAAATACTCCACCACCACCGCCACCAGTCTTATATTGGCATGTCATCAGGGTTATTTCTTCACAACAATCGTCTGTATCGGAAAGTGTTCCCTTTCATTTATTTGGTATGTGCTTAGTATCTGTTTCCCCAGCTGGCCTGCACTTTCCTTGAGGGTAGGTACCTCATCTGTCCTATTCTCAAACTGTGTAACGTGTCTGGCCCATAGAGGTGCTCAGAAAA